AGCAGAGATGAGGTCTCGCCAAGTTGCCCAGGCGGGTCTCGAACCCGTGGGCTCAGGTAATCCACTCACCTCAGCCTCCCAAAGGTGCGGGATTACAGGTTGAGCCACCGAGCCCAGCTTCCTTTTTTTTTTTTTTTTTTTTTTAATGTTTTGTAGAATTGGTTCTTGCCCAGGCTGGTCTCCAACACCTGATCTCAAGCAATCCTCCCAGCTCAGCTTCCCAAAGTACTGGGATTGCAGGTATGAGCCGCTGTACTAGCAGCATTCTGGTATGGAGTAGAAATGAAGTGCTTATCCTGTGACAGTTTGGGGCGCAGTTACGGGAGGCAATCACTGAGCTGGGAATGGGCCTTGGGCTCTCGTGGAGGCTCTGCCTCTGGCTTTGATGGGCACTTCAGGTGTCTGGACTTTGTTTACTTTGTTCTTAAGCAGGATCCATGGCCCAACCCTGCTGGGTTGTTCCAAGACTGATGGCTGCAGTACTTGTATGCACTGGTAAATTGCAGAGTGCTTTCAAGTGGAACAGCTTCAGAACTAATGGTCTTCAGTGCACACTACATTTGTAGCTCATAATTTTAGAAATATCTCTGTTCAAAGAGAAGGAAATAATGTTTCTAAATTGACACAGCACAGGCCTGAGTTTCCCCTGATTAGTAAATGTAAGACACAGATGCTTTTCACCCTCATAGCATGTTGCCAGGTCAAACCCCTCTCAGCCAGAAGTGGTTTGGAAGCTCTAATGGAAGTTTCCTGCAGGCCCAAACCTCTTACCCTTGGGGTCTCATCACTACTCGGGAACTCTGCCATGGAACAGGACCTCGGGGCTGTGGAACATGCTCCACTTTCTTCCTTCCGATGCTGCTAGCTGCTCACAGCATAGGCTTCATCTGAGGACAGGCACCAGCACAGGTGCCAGGGCCGGTGTTCTCGGAGGAGCCCCCTCTTGGGGACTGTCTGTCTCTCCAACTTTGTATCCGATAGTCAGTAATAAATTGTTGACTGAATAATTCCTGTGTAGCTTTTAGAAGAGTATGTCGCCAGGTGTGGTGGCTCACACCTATAATCCCAGCACTTTGGGAGGCAAAGATGAGAGGATTATCTGAGTTCAGGGTTTCAAGACCAGCCTGGGCAACTTGGCAAAACCTTCTATCTATAATAAATCAAGAAAAATTAGCCAGGTGTGGTTTCTCATGCCTGTAGTTCCAGCTACTTGGAAGGCTGAGGTGAAACAATCGCCTGAGTCTAGCAAGTTGAGGCTGTGATGGCCATGTACATGACACTGCACTCCAACTTGGGTGACAGAGTGAGACTCTGACTCAAAAAAAAAAATCAGGAAGCCAAAGTTAATTATCCATTTCAAGTTCTTATCTTTGTTTAAAAAGTGAGGAATCTCCGGAAATAGAGATTTGGTGTATTAGTCATAACAAACAGTGATGAGTACTGTTCAAAGCACTTTTGTATATATTATGTCATTCAGCCCTCAAACAGTCCTATGTGTAGATGCTACTATTATCCCTGTGCTGTGAATGAGGAAGTTGAGGTGTGGAGAAACTCTGAGCTGCCCAAGGTCACACAGGTGGAGGCTGGATATGAACACAGGCATGCTGGCTACACAGTTCATGTTTTAATCACTGTGCTGTCTTCCTTCTGAAAAATCTTGATTCTCATGTGTTCATTTAAAAAAGAAATGTATAGTCAAACACTTGTAAAAAAAGTTTTAATTACCATATAAAATGTGAATATCTATATTCTTTAGTGTCATATTTAAATACACCTTTGTTCCTGAATGTGTTCTGTTTCCTCAGTTTTGTGACCTGTTCACAAGATACGGAAGTATTTAAAGGTTGCCAGTTCATTTCTAACACCATAGTCATTTTTGGTTTTGATAGCAGGATCACTAAAAACTTGAAGGTCATACCCTCACTTTTCAGCCAAGCAGAAAAGAGATTCAGAGTATTGAATTTCTATTTTGAGAGGGGATAGGGAAACAACAAGGGGAACCCCTGCCTGTGCTAGATGCTAGTGCAGTATTTGTAGACTTTTATTTCACATAGGCTATTATGGTCTCTGAGAGCTCAGAAACAGTCCCTGGAAGTCTTTTTTTTTTTTTTTGAGTTGGAGTCTCACTCTGTTGCCCAGGCTGGAGTGCAGTGGCATGTTCATGGCCACCCCAGCGTCGACCTGCTGAGCTCCGGCAATCCTTCTGCCTCAGTCGTCCAAGTAGTCAGAATTACAGGTGTGCGCTATCAGGCCCAGCTAATTTTTTATTTGTTTTAGACACGAGGTCTCACCAAGTTGCCTGGGCTAGTCTCAAACCCACAGGCTCAGGAAATCCACTCACCTTGGCCTCCCAAAGTGCTGGAATGACAGACTGAGCCACCAAGCCCAGTCGGAAGTCCCATCTTATGCAGTGAGATAGGCCTGTAAAGCCAGTCTTATTTTGGTAGCTTTGTGTTTTATTATATGGTCATCCTTCAGTATCCACGGGGGATTTGTGGGATAGTCCCTCCCAGGATACTGAAATTTGCAGATGTTCAGTTCCAGCTACTTGGAAGGCTGAGGCGGAAGGATCGCCAGAGCCCAGCAGGTCAAGGCTGCAAGGCCACTGCACCCCAGTCTGGGTGACAGAGTGAGACTCCAACTCAAAAAAAAAACAAACACCTGCGCCTTTGGGAGGCTGAGGTGAGTGGATTGCCTGAGCCCGCGGGTTTGAGACCTGCCTGGGCAACTTGGCGAGACCTCATCTCTACAATAAATTTAAAAAAATTTAGCCAGGCGTGTTAGCGCACGCCTGTAGTTCCAGCTACTTGAAAGGCTGAGGCAGAAGGATCGCCGAAGCCCAGCAGGTCGAGGCTGCAGTGACTGGGAGCGGCCACTGCACTCCAGTCTGGGCAACAGAGTGAGACTCCAACTCAAAAAAAAAAAAAGAAAAAAGAAATGGCATGATTACCTACATGGTAACCTACATACATCCTACCTTATGCTTTGGATCATTTCTAGTTTACTTATAACACTTAATATGATGTAAAAAGTGATCTTGTATTATTTAGGGAATATGACAAGGAAAAAAGTCTGTATACGTTCAATACTGAAACAAGTTTCTTTCCAAATATATTCAATCCTCAGGTGGTTGAATCATAGATGTGGAACCCACAGACAAGGAGGGCTGATTCTATTTGTCTTTCAAGGAATGCCACTATCACATTAAAATACTGTCAGGGTATATTGTCATTTTGCCTCTAGACATATGTGAGACATTTCATGAAAAGCTGTTAGGGAAGAGTGAGAACCATTGTTCCTTTATGTGATGGTGTTGTCCTCCAGGAGAATGTATGCCTGAATATAGACTTGGTGTGGATGCAGGGACTGGATCTACAGTGGCTGGTAGCAGCTACGAGTGGCCACAGCATGCTTCCTTCTGAGTCACAGAGAGGAGGCTGGGCTGTGCTACCACAGGACGGAAAAGGACTGGTGATGAAAAGCAAAATATGTTACTGGTATCTGTAGCCTTTCACAGGCTGCCCCAGTGACTGACATGAACAGAAGAAATTTATTAAATCATACTCATTTCATATGATACACAAATGCTTCCTTTTCAAACAAAATTTCTAAATTATAGCATTATTAACGCTATTTGAAATTTTCTATTTTCACTGGTAATAAATCAACTGTAATGTAGGTTTTATTTATTTTTTTGTTTTTTGAGTTGGAGTCTCACTCTGTCACCCAGACTGGAGTGC